AACAAAACACAGAGTCTCAAGCAAGAGCCAAGATGTTCCTTCCATGGGCCCAATCTGGGCCTGCCCCAGGTCCCGGAGAGCCACTGCGACGCTCTCTGCCCTGGGTGGGGCCTGCCCCTCCCTTATCTGCCACTTGGCTGCACTGCAAGTTCTGTTGTCCTTTCAAGTTAAACCCCCAGCACCTGGCCCCTACAGTCCAAATCCTGCAAGCAGTTGTTGAACCTGCCTCTTGTTCCCTCTCTACTTCTCTTGAGTCTTTGTCTCTGTCGGTCCCATCACCTCTCTTCTCTGACCCTCTTCTGGTCTGTTCCTGTCTCTGCTCCATACTCTCCTCTCCTCTTGGACTCTGCCTTCTCTTCTCTGTCTCCTTTCCTGCCTCTGTATGTCTGTCCCCTTCTGCCATCCCCCTCTGTGTGTCTGCCTCACCCACGCCTCCTCACTCGTTAGTGAGCCCGCTGCTTGAGGCCGCCTGACTGTGGGGGTGACAGGTGGATTGGATTGTCACCCCCCTCCCCCAGTGCCTGCTGCTTATTTCATGCCCTGCAGCCCAGCCACGGGGAAGGGGCGGGAGGAGGGATGACAGCTGTCTCCAGCGCCTCCTGCCTTCTCCTCCAGTCCACAGCCTGCAGCCTTGAGCAGCCTGGGAGGGAGGGATGAAGGGCCCGCTTAATGAGAGCACCCTCTCTTGCTATGTAGAAGAGAAGGATTGAGACTCGTCGCTCTGTGGCATAGAGCCACACACTCTGCTACTCTGGGCTTTTGCTCCATTTTGACCTGTGCTGGTGAGGAGCTCTGGAAGTAGATGCCCTGTGGTTCCTCTGAGCTTCTAGGCCACTGGCAAAAAGGCATATGTGGATGGAAGGGTATGGAGGAAAAGGAAAGATAGGTCTTCCCTTGCCAATGGCAGGAGAGAAGGAATGTTGAAAGGACTGCTGCAGATCCCCAGGAAAGACAGGCTTGCTCAGCCCTGTTGCAGCTGCAGCTCCAGGGAGGTTGGTCTGACCAATCCCCCCTCACCTTCCCCAGCTGGCCCCAGGCCACTCTCACACAGGAACTGAGATAGCATCATTCTGAAACCTGAGAATGGTTTGAATATTGCTCAGGTACCAAGAGGTGTTACTTTGGGGGCAGGCCAAGGCCTGTTCCTTCCCCTATGCCCCCTCCAAGCTGAGACCCCCTTTAGAGTACATTTGCATGTTATCTCTACCTAATTTGCATGCAAATGGAACTCAGAGGTTCTTAATGGGTTACTAGCTGAGCTTGGAAAAATGACTGTCTTAAAGTCCTCTGGAATCCCTGGATGGTACAAATGGTTAAATCACTTAGTTGCTGACCAGAAAGGTTAGAGATTCAAGGCTATCCAGAGGTAGCTTAGAAGAAAGGCCTGAAGATTTACTTAACAAAGCTCAGCCCTTAAGAACCCTCTTTTACTCTAAGCTGACTCCATGGCAACTAGATTTTCACTGGTTTAGGGTCCTTCTGTGAGCTCTCAGTCTCTGGTCCACTCGGCCCCATCTCTTTGCCCTACATGACCCTCAAGCCCAGCATATACCCTGCTCTCCATGTTTGGAGACTTCTCCACAGCCACTCCTCATCTCCACAAAAGATGAGTCTGTGCTGCTTCCTTGACCCAGCTGCCCTCCTTGCCTTCTTGCTCCTTCCTCCATCAGGAGAAGGCCTGCTCTCCCCACACAGCCCCTAAGAGTTCTGTTTTGCCGTCCCTATCCTACCAGCCTTGCCCAGGAGTACATGCATTACAGTCAGCCATAACCTTTGAGGGAGAGTAATTTTGGTGGTGTAACTGTGGCTTGAAGTCAAGATTGAGTGGACACTGAGGCTGGAATGAAGACTATCCTGGCAGATCTCCTGTCTCCATGGTAGCCCAAAGCCCTCCCAAACTCTGGTTCCATATACCAGGCATAGTAAAAGGATTAGAAGAAAAACAGCCAAAGATCAGGTCATCTGAGAGGACTTCGCAGAGGAGGAATACGCTGGAAAGGAAAAGAAGAATGGGCTAGGCCATGGAGAAGAGAGAGGCTCACATCTGGAGAACAGATGCCCAGGCTCTGCTTCCTGGCAGTTGGTTAGATAATTAGGGAGAGGGCTAATTAAGGAGGTCCAGGTGTTCATTAAAGTCTTCCTAATTGGGTAGGAAGGAAGCGAGGACAGGACAAGTCTCCATACCTCTGAAGAGGTCATTTTGGGGTCCTTTGTGCTACCCCAGGCCCTAACAACCCTTTCTTTCGAAGCCAAGGTTGAATTCTTACTCCTGCCCCAGAGGTAGCAGAATTGTAGAATGGGCAGCAGAGGAGAAAAGGAGTTACTTATTAGACTAAGCCTGCTTTGCTTTGCAGGAGGGCTTGTGGTTAGATATGAGGAAGCACTGCCCAAGGCAGGGCTGTCTCCTCCGGCAGTGTTAGTACAAAGGTGAGAGCAGCAGTGAGGAAGGGGCCCTGGAAGCATGGGATTATAAAAAGTGCTTTGGGCTACCTTGGTGGGGAGTGGCCATAGATGAAGTGATGAAGTCTGGTTGCTTTAACCCTGACTTTTCCCCCCCCCCCCACCCCCAGAGGATATTCAGTGGGTCTCTGTGACTTCCCTGCCTTCCTAGCCCTGATCCCTCTGCATCCTAGCTCCCCCAGCACGAGGCGGGGGTGGGGGGGGGGTGTAGGAGATCAGCCAGGGAGCTGGTTGCCAGGAGACAGTTGCCTGAGCAACCTCATCCTCTCCATCTCCATGTGCACAGGGCTGCTCCTTAGAAGACTTTAGAGTCTCACCCTCTGCGCAACATCAGCCAACCCAAGATGGAGGAGGATTGAGAACTAGGGTGCAGAGGTTGTTGGAGGGTGGATAGTGTGCAAACAGTCAAACTTGATGGACACATGGAAGAGGAAGAGTTCTAGTCCCTATTTTCATAGAGAATAGAATAAGAGGAGCTAGTACTGCAGCAGGTCTTATGGAGGTTAGACTATAAGCAGGACTTCCAAAGAAAAACAACACTAAAGCAGATGTTTTCTAAGCTCCTCCCTGTAGTAGAAAGAATGACCACAGAGACAGATGGAGTTTTTGCTCTCATGAAATTAATTTACTTTTGTGGTAAATATTAGAAAGAAAAGAACGTTTTCTGAAAGTAAATAATTGGGGGAACTAAAGGCATGATACAGGCATGACTTTTCTGACAGTCATGAGAGCAAAGAAGAGATCACTCCTCCTATTTGAAGGTAGAGACATGGCTGGCCATAAGCTAGTAGAGGTTAACTTGTAGAAAGGAAGATGAGTGCTGTGAGCCAGAGGAATGTAGTAGTTACTGCACTTTCCAGTCTAGACTAACGTTTTCAAGACCATGGCAGAAAAATCTATATAAAAAGCCAATTCAGATACCTCTTACCCCTGTCCTCCCCTGTTTCCTACCAGGCTCACAGCACTTTAGAAAATACGCCATTTGGGTTGCATTAGAAGCAGGAGTGTTGACAGAGCCTTTGCAGTCAGAGTTTGGCACAGCTTTCCCAGGGTGCTTGTGAGGGTAAATGGTGAGAGGTGCAGGGCCCATGGAACACCTTTGAAGGAAGGAACAGAAGAAGAAGGTGCTGAGGTGCCATTATGGAGAGAAAATTGAGGAAGGTGAATGTTAAAATGAGAAAGGAAGGCTCTTTTCCTCCTAGGCATGGGGTGAACAACAGTGTTTTCTGTGGATGTCTGCACAGAGCAGAGGTCTCCCACTGGGCTGAGAAAAGCCTGAGGGATGGTTGTGGAGAAAGGAAAGGCTGTGTGTGCGGGGAAATTGTTCCTGGCTCTTCTAGGTCCACAGCTTCCTTACCTTTTCCTTCTCTTCCCCTCTGTGGCCAAGATGCCAAGGCTGAGACTTTACATCTGCTTGGTACCTTTGGGGCCACATTGAATGGGACTAGAAAGACTCCAGGTAAACTCAGCAGTCATTGAGAATAGAGGCTTGGGAGGCTCTTATTTTCTTTTGTCTGTCATCAAACATTGCAGTGATATCTCTGTGCAGATTGGTGGGGGTGTCACACAGAAGCTGGAACCTCCATGGACTCTGTAGCAGGTTCTCTGGTAAAGGGTACTGTGGAGGGAGAACTCCAGAGAAAAAGGCTGGACTTCTGTGGGCCAGACCTGTCCCAGGACCCAACAGAGTGGTTTTAGAAGACATGGGCCCAATGCCAGGGTTAAAGGTACCCTCAGGTCATCTATCCCATCTTGGGCATCTCCAAACCCAGCTGCCCATCCAGGTGCCCAGCTGCACCTTCCACACCACTAAAACTGGATAGCCCATTACAGGAAAAAATTGCTAGCCCTGATCTAAAGGCATGAGTTATTTATTTAAAACTGTAGATTTCACTCTTCAAACAAAAAAGGTTCATTTGAAGCCCATGGAGTAAAACAGATTGTCATTGAAAAGCTCTCATTGAAGTGGAGTGGGGGTCCACAGTCTTGAACCCCACTATGGAATCTTAAGTCCCTGAGTTTCATGTGTGGAATTGTGAAGACTACTGCTTTAGATCTGCTCTGATGTATGGGACCAGGGATGCAGAGGCACTTGCATCCTGGCATGAAGTACGCCATGCTAGCCATTCACCAGTGTGGCAGATGTTCACTCAGCACGTTCTCTGCACCAGGGTCCAGAATGGAAACCATCCTTCTTGGCTGGGGGCAGCTGGTGAAGCCAGGTGTCTTAGTAGCCATCTAGGTCTGGGGAGAAGATGGAGGTGGTTCTGTAAGATCCAGACCCTATCGGAAGCTCCATGAACTCTGGTCTGGAACTTGGGAGGCAGTAATGACAGTGCAGAAAGAACTTGGACAAGAGTGTGTCAGTCTGTGCCTGACTGTGGCAGGCCATTATCTAAGATAACTACCCTTTATTCTCTTGAAGGGAGATTCAGATGCTGTCAGCCACTAACAGGAGTGCTGTGAGGTTGGCTCAGTTTGTAGGGAGCTTGGCTGGGGTTATGAAGTCTGATAGTCCTCTTGTAACCCTCTCCTTCCAGGAGGCTGTACAGAAGTGTCCAGCAGACCATGAATTGAGCAGTGATCCCAGACCGTTCATGAGCACAGTGTGAGACGTGCCGAGACCCACCACCTAGCAAGCCCCCCGCCCCAGCACTGAAGACCCTCGGAGAAGATGGGGAGGAAAAAGATTCAGATCCAGCGAATCACTGATGAGCGAAACCGACAGGTGAGGTGGTCTTCGGGCTCTTCAGAGTAGATGCAGGCAGGGAGTTGTCATTGGTCTTCAATCATTTTAGTTGCACTAAGAAGGCTTCCAGGAAGCAATGGGCTCTAGAGCTATTATGGAAGGAGAAGGGCTGAGATAGGAAAAGAGGAGCCCTTACCTTCCTGCATCTCGTGGGACCCTGTGTCCCAGATGGACCTGTGCTCACTCAGGAGCTGTTTGTGGGCTTTATACCACATTTAGTAAGCCAAGTCTTCCCTTTCCAAGATAACCTTTCCTCACTTCTCCCCAAAAGACACCCTGCTGTTCTTTCCTTGTCCCACCTTTCCACAGAAATGTAGAGTTCTAGTCATCCAAATCCTTTCCAGTGAGTTGGGTCTGAGCTGTATTGTGGCCATGTGTTGTCAAAGGGGTACTAGCTTGTTCTTTGTCCAGACCATGGACTCCAAAGGGAATGGGCTATGTTCTACTGCCTATAGGCCGGGCCTCCTGGGCGGGCCTCACTGAGCCAGGCCTGGCCACCCCCCTGCCCACCTGTAGGTGACATTCACCAAGCGGAAGTTTGGGCTAATGAAGAAGGCGTACGAGCTCAGCGTGCTGTGTGACTGTGAGATCGCACTTATCATCTTCAACCACTCCAACAAGCTGTTCCAGTATGCCAGCACTGACATGGACAAGGTGCTGCTCAAGTACACGGAGTACAACGAGCCCCATGAGAGCCGCACCAATGCCGACATCATTGAGGTGGGCTCCCACTCACGTGAACCACCCTCCTCCTGCAGCCAAACACACATGCCACACAGCGTGTACACAGAGACTTGCCTGTGCATACTTGCCCCTAGCCCCTTACCTGTGTGCACATACACAAAACCCCACATCCTCTCATACAAACCCAGGGTCCAAGGAAAAAAGAGGTAGCATCAGGGAACAGGCCAACACAGGGCCTCCTGGCTGTCAAGGGAGGCTTCCATAACAACCCACCACGAACCCCAGTCATCTCTACAAGTCTTTCTTTATGCCCATCAAGTATGACATGTGTCTCTCTGCTTTGGTGTTTTTCACATTTTATTTCTCTCTGTCTCCATTTTTTTGTTCTGTTCTGACTCCATTTCTTCATCTCCCTCTTTGTTTCCAGCTCTCCTAGCCTATGACTCCATGTGGCTCTATTCTTTACTTCAGAGAGAGCCGACATTGTGAGCCATTTAAGGACACAGGCTTTAGAACCCAGCTCTGGTCTTTACTGGCAGTTTATGCACCTTGGTGTCCATCTGCACAAATAGGGCCAATGCCTGCTTTGAAGGGTGTTTTATGAACTGAGTGAGACAGCCTAGTTTTGCTTCTCACACTAAGAAATGACACGATTGTACCACTGAAGAGTGTCCCCAGGAATCCATAGGCCCATCTTCCTGGAATAAGAATTGAACTCATAGATACAGAGGAAATTCCCTTATATCAGAGAAAACAGTTTTATTCTAGTCTAGAATGTAAAAATTATGTTCATTTTAATGATCATACAAGTATCTGTAAATATTTTGAGTATGAGAGAGGGCAACCTTGCCGTCTACTCCAGACGTCTCTGCGCTTTGTTTCCATCACCACATTGTATACATGAGAGATGCTCAGGCTTGAGGGAAAGGGCAGTGGATAGGGATGGTCCTGAGAAGGAATTCAGTAAATGTTAGTTCACGCTGTGCCTTTCTACATCTTACTTTCTCTCTGTGTGTTCATCTTTCTCCCTGTTGTTACCTAGCAGTCAGTGACCCTAGGAACTCCTAGTCCAGGTTCAGCCCCTCTTCTAAGTAAACCCAGGGATTGAGATGGACAGAGATTCCTGAATACCTTCCCCCAGGGAGCCCTAAGTGCCTTTTGACCAGAGCTTACCAAGGGTGGCCAGCCCATCCCCCACTGAGCCCTCATCACACCTGTCACCATCATAGAAGCACATGTCTGCCGGCTGCATCATCCACTGGGCTAGACCCACCTCACATGACCCAGCAAGTATTCTACTGCCTCCCCCACCTACCAGCTCTTCACAGTCTTCACACACTATCTCAAGAGGCACTGGCAATGGGCATGGGAGGGTGACAATGCTAAGGAAAGGGGTTTGGGGGAAATGCTGGGAAGCTTTGAGGGAAAGGGTTGGGGGAAAGTATGGGAGTGGGTCTTAAGAAAGGGCTGGAAGGAATTTAAGGGAAGTTGTGTGGAAGGGATGCTCATCCCACTGACAGCAGTGCGGTTACAGACCCTAAGGAAGAAGGGTTTCAACGGCTGCGACAGCCCGGAGCCCGACGGGGAGGACTCACTGGAGCAGAGCCCCCTGCTGGAGGACAAGTACCGGCGCGCCAGCGAGGAGCTCGACGGGCTCTTCCGGCGCTATGGGGTGAGCCCCACTCACTCTCTCTCTGTCGGTCCCCCCTTCCGGCCCCTCCCCCAGGCGCTGCACAAGAAGCACAGGGAATGTGAGAGCCCTGAGGTGGACGAGGTGTTTGCCCTGACCCCCCAGACGGAGGAGAAATATAAAAAGATAGACGAGGAGTTTGATAAAATGATGCAGAGTTATAGACTGGCCGTGAGTAGTCGCATGGAGCAGAGCTTCCCTGTGGTGCATGGTGTGGCTTTGCGGCCCAGCCTGGCCCGCTCGGCTGCCTCTGATGGATGTTCCGCTCTGAGCCGTGCTGGGGCTATTGGTGACCACTGAGGAATCTCTGACTTTACTCAAGATAAACTTAGGGCCCTTCTGGGGTTAATCTTGAATGGTATATAAGCCAAGAGAGGCCTGGAGTGTGTTCCTTACCAGTAAATATTGTATAGATAACGTGAGATCCTTAGATGACAGCAAAGTAGAGTGTGCTCCTTGTCCATCTTTTCTGGGGAGAGATCCTCTTGAATTTGCTCTTGTGTCCTCAGTCCAAGACACTCAGTAGAATTGTTTAGGGGAGACAGAGAAGGCAGTGAGGTGGAGGTAAATTTCCTCTGCTACAGACTAGAGGAGTAAGAGATTGCGGGTGAAGTGATGTCCCCAATCCATGCCACAGGCCTGTAATTGCTATGTGTGTGTTTTGAGTCTATACCCAGGGCCTCTAACGTGTTCTGTGTGTCCTGCCTGGCTGAGGACTAACCCCTTCCACTTGGAGGTTCCAGGTGTCCTAGGTCCTGCCTGTATTGGTCAGAACTGTGTTCTTGTTCGCTGGGTCCTCAGAGAATTCCTAAGCATTGTTCATTGCTGAGAATGATTGTCAGGGCCCAGGAGGTCCCAGGGCAGAGAGATTGAGCTGTTGGGCCTAGGATACACAGCCCAGAAACTAAAAGAACCTCTGCCTGCCCTCCCAGACAGAGTGAGTCAAGGATGAATAACTAACCTGCCTTCCCCTTGCCCCTGTCTTTGTATCTAGTCAGCTGTCCCAGCCCCCAACTTTGCAATGCCTGTCACGGTGCCCGTGTCCAATCAGAGCTCACTTCAGTTCAGCAATCCCAGCGGCTCCCTGGTCACCCCTTCCCTGGTGACGTCATCCCTCACGGATCCTCGGCTCCTGTCCCCCCAACAGCCAGCTCTGCAGAGGAACAGTGTGTCTCCTGGACTGCCCCAGCGGCCAGCCAGTGCAGGTGAGTAGGCTGCTGGGTGAGTAACTGAGGTAGAGATCACATGAGACTTGGAGATTCTATTATTAATAATTACTTGTGCCTTTCCCCCTTCAATAGCGTTTCCTCATTTGTATGGCTCTTAGGGAAGGGACCATGACCACTTACCTTGTTATCCCCTCACTTTAAAAGTAGGAATCCTGTCAGCACCTCATTCATGGTTCTTTTTTTACTTCCAGGGGCCATGCTGGGGGGAGACCTCGGCAGTGCTAATGGAGCTTGCCCCAGCCCTGTCGGTGAGTTCAGCTGATCCTCTACCTGGGGATGGATAGAGCATGCCTGCTTAATGGCCTGAGGGGCCCATGGGTCACAGAGGACCTAGAAAGGAGATGAGGGAGAGCCCGTGGCTTGAACTGGATAGAGGCAGGACTTTTAAACCCCTGGACTTGTTATCTGTAGCAGTAACTGGTGAGGATGAGCAGAAGAGAGGTAGGCTCAGAGAATTCTGGACATATTGTGGGGGTAGACTTACCTTTCTAGTTGGAGATATTTCCAGTTGAATGGGGGGTATCCAATTAAGATCTAGAACCTCAGCCCTCAAAATAACTCCAATGCTGTCAAGTCAGTTCCATTTTACAGTTATCCTCTGTCAGGCTTCCAAGGGTCATAAATCTTTATAAGGGAAGACTGTCCAAGGAGTAAACTCATAGATTCAGACTGCTGGCCTTTTGGTTGCCGCCCCATACGTTACCTGTTCTGTCACCCAATGTTGACCAGATGTACTACAGACACAGAGAGACACATGTATCACACACGTGTGTACATTCTTACTGTCACAGTAATATCTAGACATCAGCTGTGCACTTGTGATCATATGTCCATAAGCCACAGAAGAAGGCCACCCTCCCTGCTCCCAGCAGCTGACACCCCCTCCTGCCCTGTGCTGTTGTTCAGCTGGGTGACTGTGACTTCGAATGTCACCATTGACGTCACCCTGACATTCTTGCCATTCCCAGAGTGATCTGGGAATTGGGATGGAGGCAGCCACACACTTCCGGGGCACAACGTGCTCTTAGGGGACTGAACAAGGTGGCATTTCTGACTGCAGTCACCCCCACATGTCCGGCTTTCAGAATCACCCAGCTGAACTTCAGGTACCATGTAGCACCCCCTTGGCAATAGTGATGTATTGGGGCAATTGGTGACTATCCCTCCCTCTCCAAGCAGAGGGGCAGAGAAATACCCATAGACCATAAAGAAACAGTGATACATAGAAGGCCTCGAACCCAGCAGGTGGAAACTAAGGAAGAGTCTTGACTTGGCTTCCAGCCAGCTGTATGGACCTGGACAAGTCACACCTCTACCAGCCAGGCCTCAAGTTTCCTCCTCTCTAAATAGGGCTAATAACATACGCCTTGTCTTTGTTGTAGGGTTATTGTGAGGATTAAATGAGATAATGTTTGTATGTTAAAGCCCCTTGTAGACTGAAGCATGGAACAAATGTAAAAGATAGTTATTATGGTTGTCATTACCAGTCTAATTATGGTGGTAGCTATGTTGTCAGTGCCCCAGTGCCAGTAACACCCCCACCAGAGAATGGCTTGTGTCCTCGAAGCTGTGAGCTATTTGTCATGTGCTCATCCAAATCATAGCCTGAGCAGCTCTGGAGAGGGAGTGGTCTTGAGTGGTTGGTGATTTGTCCTTGGGACCAGGATCCTCACTGAGGTCCACATTTGAGGCCACCAGCCTTTCTCCATCGTGGTTGATTGTGGGCTGACTCAGAGCACACTGCGAGATTTGGAGGTACTAGGTTTTCTGTTTGTGGTGACTAAAGAGAAAAAGAGTGAATTTGCTGCAGAAGAACCTCTTAGCTTTGAGGGAGACAATAGGTAATAATGATACTCTACTTCTTCCCAAAACCCCCCACCCATTCCCACCCATCCCCACATGTAGCATAGCAGTGTTGGGAGCTGAACCCAGTGGTTTGGGAATAAGGGGTATTTGCCTCTTACTCTGAAAACAGGATGATTTGGTTGAGGAGGGTGAAATCAGATAGCACCCAGACAAAGTGTGAGCATTTTTTTATGAAGGTGTGGATGACAAACATTAGGGCAAAGGGGCCATTAACAGGGCTCAGGGGTAGGCTTGTGTTTTTTCTTTTATCCTCATCTTTTTGCTTCTCCAGGGAATGGCTATGTCAGTGCACGAGCTTCCCCTGGCCTCCTCCCTGTGGCCAATGGCAACAGCCTCAACAAAGTCATCCCTGCCAAGTCGCCACCCCCACCCACCCACAGCGCCCAGCTTGGAGCACCCAGCCGCAAGCCTGACCTTCGGGTCATCACATCCCAGGGAGGAAAGGGGTTAATGCATCACTTGGTGAGTGGATGTCCACACTGGGGCATGTGGTAATGGGGAGAGCAGGCCTTGAGCAGGAAAGACTCAGGCTAACCAGTGGTTAGACTTCTAAGTATGGCTTTTCATAGGCTCCTTTCCCCAGAGGACCTGACCACCAGAGAGTGAAACACAGAAGTACCCAAGGGTATTAAAAAAGGGACGAGATGAGAGTGAAGGTTCTGTGATGGAGAGTGAAGGGAGAGGCTTGCTTTGACAGTGGAAGGGATGGGAATGTGATTTTGAGGCTTTCCTAACGGTTAGAGATTAGGAGACACCATCTTAAGGAAGTCAGCCAGGACAGTGAAGACCTCTGTTGTATTGGTGGGGGCTTTGCTAGTTTTTTCCTTAGTCTCTTTACTGGGGAAAGCTGTCTTGGTTCTCTGCAAGGAGAAATTGGGCTGATGGTAGGTAGGGGCAAGGGTGTGAGGTTGGGGTGGAGACAGACAAGAGACTCACTGTCTCCTTGGTTTTATTTCTGCTCCCAGACTGAGGACCATTTAGATTTGGTAAGTGAGGTTATGAGATGTTTGCTGTGGCTTTGAATTCTTGGTTGCCCCAATGCTCTGCAGTCTCATCTAGCATGCAGTGTGTGTGCCCATTTTTTTCTCCTGTTTTGTGTGTGTGGTTTATTTGGTAACTTACCAGGAGCTGTGCTAGGTGCCCAGTGAGATACAGAGGTGGAAACACTGGGAATACAGGGGTTAGAGGAGCATGTGTGTGTGCCCTTGTGTGTACATGGTGTCTTTATATGATTGATAAGGCATTCAAGCACATGCACCTTCTCTGTGTGGTGTTGAATATATATGCAAGCACAATAGACCAACCATGGTCCTCAGATGTCTCTCTGATTAGTCTCAGAATACTTGGCATAGATCCTTGGACCATGAGACCGGATCCCACTTTCCCTCTTAATACATAGACTAAGAGCTTTCTTAGAACATAAGACAGATACCTCCTTAGAGAAGATAAGAGCTAAATTTATTTTACAGGAGAAACTGAGGCGAAGCCAAGGTTAGAGTTGTCCTTCTTAGTGGGCAGGCTTCCCTACCTCTCTCTCCTCTGTGTTTTCCTATACATAGCCCACCTTAAAGGCACTCTGAGCCATAACAATTGCCTTCTCTCTCTGTGTCTTTCTCACCCACGCTCTTTCTCTTTCCCTCCCTCTCATGCACACAGTTTTTCTCATATACTCACCATCAGCCAGCAGTGGGGCTGGGGGCTCCTCTCTCCCCAGTTCCCTGACAGGAGGCCAGAGAGGCTGGAAAAGGCAGACAGGCAGTCTTTGGCGGCCAACTCAGCGGCAGTTTCGGCCCCAGCATGGAGTTGAAATAAACAAGTGACTCAGCGGCAGATGGAGCGAGCTGACAGCTACACACACGTGTGTGCATACGCGCAGGCACACGCCACGCCAGGCGCCACATTCCCCTCACAGATGCCAGCATGTTTTTGCTGGGATGTGTTCTACACTGTGATGTATAGAGAGTAGACACTGGAGCAGCTAGGCAGGATGAGAGTGGCAGTCCCTCTCTGGCCAAGGAGACTGAGCCTGGTGTTGGTTTTGGGGCCGCATATATGTCTTCCTGTTTGCATAGGTTCAGAAGTAAATTAATTTAAGTATGCATGTTTCTCTTATGGGTCTCCATGTCTCTGTGAATGTACACGTGTGTGTGTGTGTGTGTGTGTATGTATGTATGTATGTATCTGGGAACTTTCATGCTAAGGAACCCCATGTTGGCCTTGAGATTCAAGGACCCGACAGCCTAGCCTTGGGATAGAGGGCCAGGAAAAGACAGCCTACTCATCTACATCACCTGACACACTTCTTTTCTTCTACAGAACAATGCCCAGCGCCTTGGGGTCTCCCAGTCTACCCACTCGCTCACTACCCCGGTGGTTTCCGTGGCAACACCAAGTTTACTCAGTCAGGGCCTCCCCTTTTCTTCGATGCCCACCGCTTACAACACAGGTGAGTGTTCACGTAGCATATTATGTGTGCCTCTCGGCTTGGGTTTGGGGCAGGGGTGGAACCAGAGCAGGAACGTTAACTAGCACCTAGGAAAGGCCCTGACCTGATGGAGATCTTTGAATTTCTTTCATTTTTTTTCCTTAAAAAGACCATTGATTTTGCAGATTCCTTGTCTAATCAGGGTTGCTACTTTTAGCAAATAAAAATATAAGATGCTCAGTTTACTTGAATTTCAAAGAAATCCATAAATCACTTTTGTAGTATAAATATATTAAAAAAAATACATGCTTAATTATATCCAAAGGATAGACATATACTAAAAAATTACTTCTGTTTTGTTTTGTGGGTTTTTTTTCTTTTCTCTTAATTCAAACTTAACTGGTAAGACCTGGTGGAGGAGAGAAGCCTTGCTCCTCCAGCCCTTAGAGAGCCTCCAGTGTGAAGAGTAAACAGGAAAGAGATGGGTTGAGCACATAATTCAGGCGGACTAAGCTCTCTAGCCTCCAGGATTAGGGAGTGGAAGGAAGACATAGTCAGTTCAATCCTGTAAGATTTTCTGGAGGAAAGTGAAAAAATGAGGGAGAGAAGAGCCAGGCCGAAGAGGAGGTCCGAGAGGAAGCCTTGTCAGGGTAGGTTGGTTCAGTTTCTTGGAAAAGCCTTGTGGAGACTCCAGAGTAGAAGGGAGAAGGACTCATCTCTCACCTGATGATATCTGCCTAGGTAGTAGAATGATGAGAAAGAAGGGGAGGTGGAAGCCTGGTGGAGATTGTAGATGGGGATGGGAAGGCAAAGAAGAGTCCCTTGAGGATATGCAGAAGGTCTCTAGGTAGATAAATTCAAATGAGGCACCCCGTCTCGAGGCTGTGCTGGTCTTTGTCACCCACTCACACCTGCCTGGGAACAGTCTGTGATACTCTCAGCCATCCTTGCTTGCCCTCCAAATACCTGTGTCAGCAAAGACCTCCAGGTGAAAAAGGCACCTCATTTCAGAACATTTGTGTGATTGGGAACCTAAGTTGTTTCAAGCCAGAAGAGCTTTCCCTTCAGGTCCCCAAATATGAGTGCCTTGGGCTAAGATGTTCCTATGATGGATAAAAGACCTTTAAACTACCCTCCACCCTCCTAGCTCTGAGTTGAATTATGCTAGATTATAGGTATTTATATAGAATGCCCATGGACTCCTGCCTGCCTGTGTGTGTGTGTGTAAAGCCAAAGCCAGCCTGTGCTTAGGGAAGCCTCTTGTGGCAGGTAAGAGAGCTGGAAGAACACCTCATATTGAAGGGCGAGACTCTAGCATCAGTGTCACTGTCCAGATCCTCTCATGGGGGCAGCTCCCTTGTCCCGTGCATGTAAACCCACTTTTGTGCTCAACCTCCAGGTTACCATGTCCTCAGGCGTCAGAGGATCGCTTCAGATGCCTGCGCCTTGTGGGCTGTCTCCTCATCTGAGAGGTGTGGGTGGACAGGAGGGCTCTGAGGCTCTTCCAGCTCTGCCATCTGGGACTCTGGGACCCAACTAGAAGAGCCGGCTTCCTGAGGGTGGGTGGGATGGGGGCGGTGGTGGAGGACTGCACAGATTACCTTTGGGGAGCTGTTGTTATTTGAGATCTCATAGCGTGGGGGTTTGTTTTGAGTATTTTTTGGTTATGTCTTTCTTTGAGCATCATCTTCTTAAGTACCCCCTGCCAGTCTTTTCCAACGAGAGGAGAGTTGATTGGTGTCAGTCAGTTCAGATCAGGCCCTCAGCAAGATCAGACTTTAGACAGTGTCCATCTAGTGTAAAAGCAGGTTCTCACCCTCGGCTTGTCCTTGGAGCTCTGATGGGAAACGTGTGGGCTTTCTCACATGCTCTCAGAAACTGGGGCTCTAGTTCCTCTTCCTACAGGAGTAGTTAGGCAGACCTCAATTTAAACAGCAGGTGTTTTCAGGTGACCCTAGGTGTATAAACAAAAGCCTTGCAAGCGCATTGCTGTTTAGTTCTTCACTGTTTACAATATTTGGCCCCAGTTCAAGTTCAGGTTGGGGGTGACTGGCTTATGGTAATGTCTTGGGTAAAGGACAGGCCTAGCCCTATGTTGACACTGGCTGAGAGGTTTGGCTCTGGTCACCCTGGGAGCAGACTGAATGGGCTGCCAGGTGGCCTCTGGGCTGCATTCCTCCTAGGCTGGAGTGTGGTGGGAACAATGCAGAACTAGGAATTGTGTCTGCCACATTCACTTTGCTCAGGGGCCTTAGGCAAGGCACTGCATTCTTCCAGGCTTGGCTTCCATGTTTGTAAAGCAAGGATTGAAAATGCCTGCTGGTAGGGACCCCTTTAGAAAGATACTTATTCTCCTTTTTTTAAATATCAATGTAGGAGAACCCTGGCTAATGTTGTCACAAGGCCAGAGGGTAAGCATAGAGCATCTCTAGGGTAAGATTAAAGGTGATAAGGAGACCAGTAGTCTTGTCTTGGCTGTACTCCTGCCTTCCTCTGAGGAACTAAGGGCAAACTGCCACATTTGTAAAGGAGTAAAAATAATGGGCAAATCTTTTGAGTAGTTGTTTTGTGCCAGACAGTGTTCTACAAGTTTAATGTGTGTTAGCTCACTCAGTCCTCACACGAGCTGATTGATGTAGGAAGGATTATTGCTTCTAGTTTATTAGGTAGAGGGTAAGTAACTTTGTTAAGGTCAAATACCTTGTAAGTAGAGGTAACCAAGAAATTTGCCCTCATAGCTCATGGCTTTAACTCATTGCTGTATTGCAAAGATTACCATCTTCCTTGCATAAAAACAGTGGGCTGGAGCAAATGACACCTGCTTGGTAGCATGGGGTTGTAGTGTTAGAATGACTGGGAGATAGGTGCTCCGTTATCACACAAAGCCTGTCACCGTGGCAGTGTTCCTTGTGTTCCTCAGGGGTGAAATGGTCCTAAATAGGATACAACTAATTATGAAACATTTCATGTTTCTACTTACTCTGTAACAGTATAAAGATACTTTGTTAAGAAGCTCAGACTCATTGCTATAACATCAGAAATGACTTAAAATAGACTCTGGTGGGTTTCAGAGGCTGTAAATAGCAGAGGAGGAGAATCCCTTCTCCCACACCTAGCTGGTAGATTCAGATGGCCTGCCTTATCCACTAGGCCACCAGAGCTGCCTTAATTAAGATAAATTTTTTTAGAAACAGTGACACTCTCTCATGAGGGAATCCTGATTTGGCCTTTGTGCCTCCCTTTTTTCCCCTTTGGGGATGTATGGGAGCTCTGCTTCTGTGTACTTTCCTTCTCTCTTCCTTTTTGTTGGGTCATCTTTTTTAGGAATGGGGAAAATTAGGAATCTCTTCAGTGGCTCTAGTTGGCTGGCCAGATAGTGGTCTTCTCAATTTCTTAATTACAGTTTGGATAAATATTTATAGAGAAAATTAATTTTCTATTCAACAGTTTATCGCATTTTGTTTCAGGACATTGGTTGTAGTATCCTCAGTGTAACAGAACTCTTGCCACTTCCTCTCTGGGTCCCCTGTTTCTGTTTGTCTTTTGCTGGTGCTTCTTGCTTTTCTAAGCTTTGTTTTGGGGCAAATGTTGCCCTTTTGGCCTTGTGTGATTGATTGTACTGAGGAGTATCTTCTTTGGTGTTGTTCACCTTATAGCCCTGTTTGTTGATTGGCTGAAAGTTGATCCATGTCCTACCTTAGAGGCACCTAAGAACCACAGTCTCTACTAGACTAGTCTGATCTTTTTATTTATTTATGATTTTGAGTTCTGTTTTTATCCGCCTCCCTCTTCCTTTGTCTAGGACTTTTTATTGTGATCCTGACCAAAGCAATCGGCAGTGGTAGCCACTGCTGACTGCTGCTTCTGGGCTCAGTAGTGGAAGCTGTGATTCAAGTGGTACATTTGTCCTTTGGATTAATTGTTTCCTTGTGGCTTTGGTTTTCTTAATTTTTCTTTTCTCCAGATGAGAAAAGACTGATAGTTGCATCTTACATGGCTGTTTATAAGCTTTTAAGACCTCATTCACTACTCACCAGAGTAGACTGTTAGAACACTGTTTTAATCCCTCTGCTTTACACGCCCTTCTGCTCCAGGAACAGGAGGAGCTGTGTGACAAACGTGCATCCTCTATGTGTTTATATGTGTGGGCACAGCAGCTCCAACCCTTGCTGCTACTGAATGTATTGACCATCTTTGGGAGATTTGAGGACTTGACAGAAGGTGGAATGGTAGTTAATAATTCGCTTGTGATACCCAAATTCACCTTGCGTTAACTACTGTGGCTCTTCTGTACCATAGAAAGGCATGCAAAATTTGGCTGCAAGGATGACAGATGTTGGGTGCAGTTGAGTTCAGTTTTGTCTCATAGCAAGCCCATCTGACAGAGTTGAACTTACCTCTTTACAGGAGTAGATAATCAGGTCTTCTCTCCCTCAGAGCAAAGATTGGATTCCAACCACCATTTTTTTCAGTTAGCAGTCACGCCCTTCATTGTTGAGCCACTAGGGCTCCTTAGACATGTACTAGACCTCTCTGCCTGTTTTCCTTTTCTAATTTTGTTGTTTAAATTATCATTATAAAATTGATACCTACACAAGTTTGGAAAAAGGTAAGCGTTATGGGGGAAAATCAGCTCTCTTCTACATCTGACCCTCAGTCCTATACCCCTGACAGAAGAACTAGTAGTTTGTGTGGACTTCCATCAACATGGAAATGTTTCTTGGTTTTTTTACATTTTGGTTTTTACAAAAAATGTTTCAGTAAATATCTTTGTATATTTTTACTTATTTTTGAGGCAAAATCTGAGAGTTTTGTAGTATAACTTCTTCATGATAGAGCTGCTAGATCTGAGATTTATGCATGTCATGTTTATAGATAGTAGGAAATTGCCTTTCAGAAGAAAAATATAAACTCCCACTTCCAGAAGCAGGAGTGCTTGCTTTGCTACAGCCTCACTTGTACTGAGTTTGAGCGTATTTTCTGCTTTTTTGCCAGTCTGGTCATTAAAATAATAGAACTTTATGGTTATAATAAATTGTGTTTCTTTCACGATGAATGTTACCTTCACTGATTTTTTTATGGGTTTATTTCATTATTTACGTCTCTGATTAAGTACTCTTCACCTCATCTCCATGGTCCTGCTGAGATCCTCGGATCCTCACCCTCGACTCCTGGGCTCATCCTCTTGTTTCCCCTCCATGCAGATTACCAGTTGACCAGTGCAGAGCTCTCCTCCTTACCAGCCTTCAATTCGCCTGGGGGACTGTCGCTAGGCAACGTCACCGCCTGGCAACAGCCACAACAGCCACAGCAGCCACAACAGCCACAGGCTCCACAGCAACAGCCGCAACCACAGCAGCCACAGCCTCAGCAGCCGCAACAGCCACCTCAGCAACAACCCCACCTGGTCCCTGTATCTCTCAGCAACCTAATGTAAGTTTCTGGGAGATGTTTCCATGTGAATGCTCTGGGAGAGAGAGTTGAGCAGGAAGAAGAAGGCCCTCCTGAAAGCTGGGTACCCCACAAAGGCATCTTATCAGTGGACAGTCTTTGACTTTGTGGCAGATTGTACAGTGCACAGCCTGTGAGACATCCTGGGGTCACCCGTATAGGTCTACGAGACGCAACCTGAACCCCTTCTAGCCAGCCCCAGGGTAGGGGTCAGGTAGCCTTGGATTGCAGAAGATGACAGTAATGAAATAGACAAAAAACTAATACTATGTATTCTTCTTTTTCTCCCTTCATTGGCTGCTGTCTTCTGGTCTCTGTCTCCATCCATTTGTCTCTTCCCCCTTTCTCCCATCCCGTCCTTCATACTGCTTGTCCTCTTTCCTTTACACTCTGTCCTGTGACCTCCCATCATTTTTTTCTGTCTTTCGCTCACTATTTCTATCCCCTTTGCCCCATCCCTATTGCCTGTCTGCAGCCCGGGTAGTCCACTGCCCCATGTGGGTGCTGCCCTCACTGTCACCACCCACCCCCACATCAGCATCAAGTCAGAACCTGTGTCCCCAAGTCGTGATCGCAGTCCTGCACCTCCTCCTCCAGCTGTGTTTCCGGCTGCCCGTCCTGAGCCTGGCGATGGTCTCAGCAGCCCGGCTGGGGGCTCCTATGAGACAGGGGACCGGGATGACGGACGGGGAGACTTCGGGCCCACGCTGGGCCTGCTGCGCCCTGCCTCAGAGCCTGAGGCTGAGAGCTCAGCTGTGAAGAGGATGCGGCTCGATACCTGGGTACTGTAGCATCACCCTTCCTGTCTGCCAGTGTCTGCTACACCCAGGGACCATCCCACGTGCCCCTTAACCTGTCTTATCTCCCACCTGAGAGGCCTTGTGCCCAGCTAGCCCTTCTCCCAGCCCTTCTGAGGCCTCACCAGTATCCTTTACCCCAACAAAAGCCAGTCTTCGTCCCCACCCCACCCCCCCAGCATCAGTTCCTCTGCTTGATGACTTTTTCCCTCAGAACTGGCCTGGCCGCTGAGTCCTGCCTGGTCTTACTCTGGGGAGAAGGGAGTGGGGGGGTGCATACCCTGTAGCCTGGGCCACCCCCTCTCACCCCCTTCTCCATCTCCTCTCTTCACAGACATTAAAGTGACGATTCCCTCTCCCCTCCTCTCAGCTTCCCTGATGAAGAGTTGACAATCTCACCACCCACCCCTCCTAGTCCCGGGCTCCTCCCGCTCGACCCCACTTCCTTTCTTGTGCTCCATGTCCTGTTGACGGTTACATTTGTGTATAATTATTATTATTATATTATTATTATTATAATATTTTTTTCCATTTGGACTCTCGCTTGGAGAGGGGGATGCTTCCATCCCCTTTCTACACCCCCCCCACCATTTTCACTGGCTGGGGGGGATCTCTTTTTTTGCGGGAAGGGGGGGACACTTTGCACGTTGTATACATATGCTGCAGGAGGGGGTGGGGAGCCCAACAGGCCTTGGGAAAAGATAGGTGCTGAGCCACCCTGCACATGGAGCCCTCCCACCCCATCCCCCAGACAGAGGGAAATAACCAAAAAAACTACCAAACAACAAAAAATCCATACAATAGACTGAAACCCCAAAGTTGACTTGATGAGTAGGTTTGTGTTTCCGGGGGGGGGGGGGGGGAAGGAGGCAGAGGTTCTGAAATCAAACACTCCTTCAGAGCTCTTCTCACGTGGTCACAAGCACGTGGGGTAGAGTACCCACAGTGCCCCTGCACACACACACAGGAGACCCACTGATTCTCTGTCAGCTACACCCCAAGTGTGTGGGTGCTGGCTGAGAGGCTTACCAGAGAATCAGAGGCTGGGGGCGACCCTCTCGAAGCACAGTTGGCGAGAAAGATAAAAAGAGCCATGAGGAGAGGGCTGAGGAGGGGCAAAAGGGCTGGGGCCAGGGGTGAACTGGACCCCTGCCCTTCTCAGCCTCTTCTGTAAATTAGACAGTGCAATAGCTCCCCACCCCTCAGTTGATACCAGCCCTGTAAGCTGGCCACATGTGCAGGGAGAAGTGGGGAGAGGAACTCCATTGAGGTGGCTCAGTGAGAGTCAGCCTTGGGCTCCCCGGGGGCCTGAGGACCAGAAGGGAGGCAGGTGCACCCTAAGAACTCTTTCATTCAGGGGCAGGTGCCAGTGAGGGGAATTCTTGCACGCACACATACCTAGAGGAGAGGACACAGGTGGTCTCTGGGGGTGTTAGGGAGGGGCAGGTAAGATCTGCGCAAGGCCCACCTCCTGATGCCTCCTTGGTCCTTCCAGCCTCTCCTCCCAGCTCCCCTGATCCTTACCCCATCTCCCTGCTCTTGGCACCCTCATTGTCTCGCTACCTCCTCTCCCACCACTCCCAGGCCGCATCCTACCTTCCCTCTTGGCTACTGTAATTGTAAATAGCAACCTTTGGAAAAAACATTAGAGGTGTAACAGTCTAGGAAACTGTTTTTTTTTTTGTTGTTGTTGTTGTATTGATATGAAATGAGATTCTATTTTTGTCAAAGTATATTGTAATAATAATGACTCAAATGGCCCGTACTGTACAGATGAGATTCTTCTGCTGTTGTTCTTGCTCCACCCCCTCCCCTGAGTCTGCCTCTTTCTTCTGCCGCTCAGTGGGCGCAGTGGTCAAGGGCCCCAGGGGAAGCTGAAGCATGGGGTCCCAAGACCTCGGGCTGGATCAAGATCCAAATGGAGGGGGCAGGCCCCAGCCCTCTATCCACCACTACCCCAAGCCCTGAGGGGCCTGGGCTGGGGTGACATGGACAGGCAGACAGAGATCTGTACTTGTCCTTCATGCAAGCCCACTCCCTTGGAGTTTAATCCTGGTTGGAAAGTAGAGTTAGACAAGGCCCAGTTTGTGGTAAATGACTGTCTTTGCCTGCCTCTATGACCCAGCCACTTGCAGTATTCTGACATTTGACACAGGGAAGGACCCAGAAATGGGGGTGGGGGGTGGGGGGTGTGACCACAGGAGTATCTGAGTGTGTTTGTGAAGGATGATGGCATCTTGTATTTATGTGTTCGTGTGTATCTTTGTATTTATGTGTGTGTGTTTGCATGAATGTATCTGTGTGTGTGTGCGCGTGCGCACGTGTAAAGTTTGAGTATGTAAAACGTATGTGTGATAGAAGCTCAGAGAGCATCTGTGACTGTGTGCCTGGCTGTGTGTTTACAGAGAGACAGCCCTGGCTTCCAACTCTATAATCTTTCTTCCTGAGCCCCAGTTCTTTATCCCCTGCTCGCTCATCCACTTTCCCCTCAGCTTGGATGTATTAATACTGCTGTTAGGGGAGATCTGGTAGTTGTCCCTCTCTGCTTCTCCCTACCACCCGACCTCTCCCGGATTTTGCTTGAGAACCTTTGCCTCCACCCACAGTTGTCCACTTAGCCCCCCACAGTCTTTCCTGGAGGGCCCTCTTCCTCCCTTTGCCCACCTTCATAACTTGGCCTCTTTGCAATATTTTTATGCTTGACACAGAACTCAAGTCTCTTCCTCCCTGAAGCTTTTGCCTTTACTAGGCATCAATTCTTCCTTACTTGCAGCTTAACCCCTACATTGATTGGGCACCAGCATGCCCAGTCTTCCCACCTCTCCTGCAGGTTTCTGGAGGAGCTTAAAAAATTAATGAGATTTGATCAGGGCCTTGAGAAAAAACTAGGGTGTGGTCTTGTGAATGCATGCATCCCCAGAGCCTTGCCCAATGCCTGGCACATGGTAGGCACTTGTAAATGCTGACTGGTGAATGATTGAATGATAGGTGCTCCATAAATATTGAATGACTAGCCTTCCCTTCTCATTCCCACCATCAGTCTGCCCAGACTTCTAGGCAGGGCTTGGCCACCATTAAATGGGGTGGGAGTGAGGGCCCCTGCAGCTCATGGTGCAATATTTACCAGTTTTGCCCTCTGCCTTGTAGTGGCAAACCTGGCTTTTGATTACCATGTGTGGATGTGTGTTTGTTGTACGTCCATCTATGTCCCTGAAGGCAGCAGGGGCTGGTCTATGAATGAATGTGTGACATTTCTGCAATTCAGTATCCCAAGATTTCTTTTGGAGGTAGGAACTCCTGGCCAGCCAGATGGATGAGTCCCCGGGAGTCCTGACCTCAAGTGGGGACTTAATTTCTTCTTCCTCTCACAAGCCAAATTTGCCTCCACCCACTCCCTTCTCTGAAGAACTGGGCATTTGCCAAAGTAACCACTGGAGTCATCCAATGCCCCGCCCTCCCCAGGTTTCCCACAGCATTCAGGGACAGAGGGCAAAAGGACCCCGCCCCAGTGTAACACACCATTTCCCCTCACCCCAACAGTGCACTCAATGCAGCGAGACTGACCCCTGACACCCTATCCCAGTGCTCCCCACCTTGGACAGGAAGGAAGTAATGCACCTTCTCTTACTGATTATTTATTTGTTTGGAGAGAGAAATGATGTAAAAGTGTATCTAAAAATATCTATATCTCTATATATTTTTAACTGACTCTTTGGAATCCCCCTAGGGTGGGGTGGGGAGTGAGTTTAAGCTTTCAAGGAGAGGAGAGACTCATCATTCTCTCCTCTGCCGCCTCTTCCCCCCCTATAAGCAGTTGGTAGAAGGAATGGGATTTGTATGGGGGGTGGGGGCTGGAATGTTATATGGAGAATCTGGATTCTCTCAGTCTTCCCCATTCAAGTCCCAGAGGGAGGGGGGAGGGAAGGGAGGGAGGGCAACAAGGGAGGGAGGGGCAGGGACAGGGATGGGCCTTGGAGATGCCCACCCCCAAACCCGACAATCACCCACACTCCTGAGGCTCCTCCTGGGTCCTGGGGCAGGGCGAGTCCAAGTGTGTGGCTGTTGATTTGTTTTCAATATTTCTTTTTGTGCTGTATGGTGATGCTTTCTTAGTATTCTACACAATAAGAAAAGACAAAGTCCTCGAGATTCTTATGAGTTTTGTTTGAAAACTCTTTCACTATATTTGTTGTAAAGAGGTTTACTATTAAAAGAAAAAGAATACACGTTTCTGATATTCCGGCTTGGGCTCTGGGTTTTTTTTGGTGCGGTCGGCTGAGTGGGGGGAGGAAGGACTTGTGTGGCTCTGCTAGGGTGCGAGGCCAGAGCTCAACCTCAGCAGAAACAGTGATGGTTGGCTTACCCTGCCAGAGAGGGCACCCAGGCGGTGTGAGGTGAGATTCTGCCAAGCGTCCATCTCCAAGGTGAGGATTTCTTACATGTACTTCTTTCAGCAATAGTGGTAGCCCCAGGACTAAATAAGAGTTGTCCAGTTAAAAGCTGCAGGAGGGATTCTGGGACACAAGAAGCACAGAAATATCACCGCAAGCCCAGGTAGGCACAGGATGTTATTTGCTGGGGGCTTTATAGCATGGTAGAGGACCTTCAGTACTAAAAACCTTCATTTGGTAGAAACTCAACCAGCACTGTTAGCCACAATCCCCAGGTTCATGGCCCTCAGAGGCCTCCAGCAAGGAAATCGCCCTTCTTGTTGAGTACCCTACAGACTGCAAAAAAACCCCCTAAAACATACCACCAAGTATGTCTTGGAGGAATTGCGACCACGGTGCTCTTAGAGGCAAAGTTAGTGAATCTGTCTCACGTCCTTTGGGCATGCTAGAAGGGGCCAGTCCCTGCAGAAGGACTTCATACCTGGAAAGATGGAGGGTCAGTAACGGAAGACCCTCAATGAGATAGCTTGACACAGCAACTCTTAACAGTGGGATCAAGTGTAGGAGAGATGAAGGTGGCACAGGATAAGGCAAAGTTCAGATTCATTGTGCATAGGGTGGTTTTGAGTAGTCGACTTGTTGACACTTAGCAACAACAACAACCACCTCTTGTTGAAGTGCTTTATAAAGCCAAAAAGCCTCTCCCTGTCCTCACATCCCAGAGCCTCCCACACCTGCCTCGCACCCCTTGGCAGGGTGGGTTGCTTCTGCTGCTGCCTCCTCCCACCCTTGCAGAGCTGTGCCATGGGGCAGAGGCCGCCGCCATGGAGGAGGCATGTCAGGGTTGGCTTACTGTTAACAGGGTTTGGTCTCTCTTCTGTACCGAGCCTGTGCTGGGTGCTGCAGAGTCAAAGGTGGTGTGAAGCACCCCTGTAAGAAGGCAGACCTGCAAATGCCAGCATTTGTCAATATTGCCTGGTTCTTTTGTTGCTGCAAGAATATAAGGGAGTCAGCAGGTCACTATGTCTTTGAGCCTTAGGCTCCCTTGTCTGTAAAATGTGTCATCTTCAGCAGTCCTGCTGCATCCCTCACAGGTTTGTTACAGACTTCACCTCAAT